CTTGAATCCGTTACTACTTATAGTCATGAAGCCATCCCAGTGCTGTACATATAGCTGGAGATTGGCCAGAGAAGGCATACCCATAAGAATATTGAGACCATCATCATCAAATTGATTGACTTGTATGTCTAATTGGAGGATGTTGGTTAGGCAGGCCATTCCCTTGGGAACCCTCTTCATGGGCCACAGTAGTTCAAGATTTTGGAGGTGCAGAAAGGTGCAGCATGGATCCGTGAACAGATATTCTCCTACTTCTCCACGAATACAAAGATATTGAAGGCTGTCATTGCCCAACCCCTTCAGAGATGACCTCAGTCGTTCTCTATAACTTTGAGTCCAAAATCCAGACATCCTGATCTTTCTCAATTTTGTTAGATGTACAAGCTCTTCCAAAAATTTCTCAGGGTTGTCAATTTTTTTGATATCTTCCACTTCCTCCAGGGATCTCATGCTCCCAAACATATCTGCAGAAAGCACACAGGCACGGTAAACAAATAGGCGCACCAAATTCTGTAGTCGAGCTGTAGTTGATGGCAGTTCTCTAATTCTTGTACAGCCCCGCAAATCAAGAGTCTCTAAATTCTGTAGCTTTCCGGTATCTTCAGGAAGCTCTGTTATTCCTTGAGACTTTATTCTCAAATATCTCAGTTGATGGAAACTTCCTATATTTCTTATATGCTTGTTTTCCCAAGACCAATAGTCCTCACATATATCAAACACACGCAGAGACTGAAAGTCTACAAGTGGGGGTATCTGCTTTGTTTCTCCAAACACATTCAAAGAACGGACATGCAACCTGCTTCTTGTGATGGCTTGGATTGCCCCTTTTTGTTCATGCCCACTAGATTGCAGGGAGATTCGATGGATCTTGCTTGGCGAAGAATTGCAGACACCGTTTAAAATGGTGGCAAAATTCTCTTCATCTGACAGAGATATTATAAGGTCAAGCACCATATCATGAACCTGACAATAATGCTGAAAACCATAACCATCAGGATTAGAATAATCTAGCTGGATCAGGCTTCTATTGACAAGTTCATTAAAATAGCTCTCTGCTTCTTGATATAAATTTCCCCGTATGGTAACAATGAATCCTTCAGATATCCATTTCCATTTCAGTTCTTCACACGGGATATACCAGTCCTCTGGATATATACACAAGTACAACAAACAAGTCTTCAAGTGGTGTGGAAGATCCCAATAACTGAATAACAATATATCCCTCATACCTTTTCCTTCATGACCACTCTCATATGAAAAACCAGTACCAATGGAATCTTGGAGTCTCTCCCATTCATTTGGGTTTTGAGGTTTATTGGCTAGCAAACTTGCAATGGTAATTATAGCCAGTGGCAGACCACCACATTTTTTTAAGATCCTAGCTGAAATCTCTTCTAGTTGAGGAGGGCAGGGGTTGTCGGAGTGGAAAATTCTCTTAAAGAACAATCTTTGAGAATCAACCTCATTCAAAGGTTGCATTTGGTAGAGCTGATCACGAGAGTTAGAGCAACATGACTTGGCTACATTGGCAATGCGTGTAGTAGCAATTATTCTGCTACCATCATAATTGTTAGGAAACATCGCTTCGATAATTTTCCAGTCTTGTTCTTTCCATACATCAT